AAGAGAATAAAATCTGCAAACTGTGCAATAATTAGGCTGTTTTTTCTACACTCATATTAACTCTTATGTCCAGAGAACCATGATAGCCTGTTCTTGGGTTAGTTTGTAGAAGGCATGTGGCTATGGGCTATAAAGTAACTAATTTCCTACCACTCTATTTTTTACCCTTCAGTCTATCTTGGGAACTGTTCTGAAAATCATGGTGACAAGACAGGACAACAGTCATTCTAACTTTGCCTTTGAATCATGTCAGGTATAAACCCATTGGTGAGAGGAATTAAATGTAACATTCTGTATTTAGAATACTGCTGATTATGATTTGTTTGCAATCAGAATGTTGATGTGTTTGCCAGTCTGTATAATAAAATTCATAATTTAATTATTATTTAATTACATGTGTGACAAAATGCCTGAAGCTGAGTCAGTGTTCTGAAAACGAATATATAGTGCCAAGGTTGTTGTTTCTGTGGTCAATTTTCAGGATGTTCAAACATGTGATAAATTAATGCAACATTAAAATATTTTCACCTGACAATTAACCTTCACTGTGTAACTTGCTAAAATTTGTGGAAATCTGATACAGTCAGACTCCTTTGGATAAGTGTCAATAAATATTCTGGATTAAAAGAGCAAAACTCCTCAATCAGCAGAGTGTATGTGAAGATAAATAAAATAGATCACTTGACAAAAGGTAAAATCTTAGTCCCAATTTGCTGGTGTTCGAGATACCCTTTCAATATAAGTCTGATAAATAAAAATAAGGTTCTTTAACATTGCCTGTCCAATATTTGGGCTAAATGAGAAGATTGACTTGAATGATAAGATTTAGTTCTGGACCAGGAAGCCTAATTTATTTGAGATCATTAGTGCTTTCAGAAAGAAAGTTTGTTTTACCTAGTAACATCTCTTAAATGTGTGTTAGGCAATCAAAAGATCAGAGACAATAAGATTTACTGTGGACAGAAAGGGAAAATTGCATTTCACTANCTGGACCAGGAAGCCTAATTTATTTGAGATCATTAGTGCTTTCAGAAAGAAAGTTTGTTTTACCTAGTAATATCTCTTAAATGTGTATCAGGCAATCAAAAGAGAGAATAAGATTTGCTGTGGACAGAAAGGGAAAATTGCATTTCACTAAGTGATCACAATAATAATAGATTAATTGAGGGAACTATCAACTTACACAGTCTAAGGGCCTGTTTACAAGGAGGGAGGGTTACCCTAGCAAGCTGGTTAACCCTAGCTGGAGGGCAGAAGATAACCCACGTTTACAAGCAAAATTTCACAGGTAGGGTAACCCTACAACTGGGGACAACTTTTAAGTTGTCCCCAGTTGTCTCCTGCGAAGGTTTGAAGTAACCTTAAAAGGTTACTTCAAACCTTTGCGGGAGTCCTCCAGAGAAAAATTCGTACATGTGCCGTTTTCAAGGAAACCCCCAGAAACTATATATCAACAGAAAGGTTATAAAATGTAGAATTCGATAAAATTATGTTTTGTTTTGGATTTTGCTTTGCAAAGACGGCAGAGGCCGTCAACTCCAAAATGACCGACTGATGCTCCAGCGAATTAATTGGGTATCAAATGCGATCGTTCATGCAAAATAACTGTGCAGTATTAATCACAAAGCCTCAATCTCCAAAAATGTGTCAGCATTTTCTTTTATTTCTACTGGTTATCTTTTTATAGATCTGTCAGGTTCGACTATCAAAAAATTCGCATAACCTGTTGCGTTAAAGGCCGCCATGAGGAAAGTATGTAAAATAAAGGAATTCGCCGACACGCTTTTGTTCCATATCTATCAGTGAATGTTCTGACCAAATTTCATGGAAAACCGTCAAATCTGCATACCCTATTAATTCATTTAAAGAGAAGGGATTCTCTCGAAAAACGAGTGCAAGTTTTCACCTTCTAAAGATTTTTAAACATATCATGCCTTCACAGAGGAATGTGTCAACTTAAAAAGCCGCGAGCCAATGAAATAACAGAACCCCTGGCATTCACAGTGTGCAAACTTGTGCTTCGCGGACATTAATTTTCTTGACCAAAAAAAAAATTGACCAATGTAGCCCCGCGAAGGTTTGAAGTAAACTTAATGTGCAGTTGCACTCAAAGGGTCCGGAAACAATAGAAAGTTAACCTGGGTAGGCAGGTTCACCCCACATGGAGTGTTTATAAGGGAAAACGTTAACCTGCCTGCCAGGGTAACCCTAGCACGCAGATAGGTTAACCCGCCTACCCGGTAATCCTAGCTGCCTTGTAAACATGACGAAGAAAACAAGAGGAAATATTTGAGTGCCAGGGTAACCCACTTGCTAAGGTAACCCTCCCTCCTTATAAACAGGCCCCAACAAGTCATTTGCATGTCATTTAATTTCTTCATAAAACTGTGACTTTTTTATGCAAAAAAAAATGTACTCATACTATCATACTATCAGACATTGCTGGGATTATTCATGCATACCTCCGCTCAGCATGACATTTTACCTTCACAATGAAAGTAATAAATGAATTCATACACTTACACTTGCTTCCTTGCAACATTGCAAAACTCAACAATAATGCCCATGATAATATCACCAGATACCCCATACAATATTCTTAAAACATTGTTATAATTACTGATAGCAACAATAACAACCAATGATTTTGCAAAGAATAAAGTTTGCCGATCATCAGAGCCAACATGATGTCTTTAGGTGCTTTAATAGAATTGCTATATACATTCCTTGTGAAATGTGACACTTATTATTAGCATCCCTGATGCCTTGGATAATATTTAGTTTCTTTCAGTCTTAAAGTTCTAATAAACCATGGAATGACCATTTGCACATCCATTTGCACATCCATATTTTGCAAACATAATAACATTTGTTAAACAAATTCTGTGATACAGATTATGGTAGCATCTGTATTTTGTACTCAGGTTTCATCACCTTTGGAAAGGGAAAAGCTAGACAAAGGATCAAATGGCTGACGAATAAAATAATTATTGTTACAGATGATGACAGCAGTTTTTTAAACGACAATGTCATCTGTCGTAATTAAAATAACCTTGTTTACATGCAAAAACATCTGTTCGTAATAATTATATGAAGTTCGAGACACTTAGCCAATGCGTGCATGACATCTGACTAGCTAGAAATACTGAATAAAATGATAAATATTTTCAATTTTTGGTACAAAAGGGTTCATAGTTTAAAGCCGACTTTGCTGCAAATATCAAAACACGTTGTGTACTTAACTTATCCTGAGAATGAAATCTTATAATTTAGCCAATAAAACTTTCTTGTACTTCATTTCCTGTCTTTTTGTAATTTTAAAATTCACGGTTTTTCATAATTTGTACTTCATGATTTTGAGCGCACGGGGCTGGCCTGGTTTCATCACATTTTCCGCAGCGAAATGCACATTTCATTGCCAATAATGTACATCATAATGCATGTCTCCGGAAATAATGAATGATTTTGAAATGAATATGAATAAAGTTGATATATTAGCATAACAGCGAACCTTTTATTTGTCTTTTCCTAAATGAAATGGCTTAAAAGCTACTTGCTTGATGAAACCTTAGACGATTTTCTGCACCTCTCAAAATTGTTTCTTTCAGAAAAGAGATGTTCACAGAACTGAACATAACCAGCCGTGTTTCCATTAAACTTTAACCTTTTTCAAAACTGATCGATGGAAAAATGTTGCGTCGTGGATTATTACATTGTACTTTCATAGTAAATGCACGTTGCATAAAATCTACAAACAGTTGGGGACATAAAGCTTGCTTCTCTAGTTCTTGTACCACGGGCAATTGTTATGTAGCGTGACGCAGTGATCAAAACAAAACATAGTACTTCGCGAAAATCGTAAACATTCCCAACACAGTTAACGACACCTTATTTACGGTTATTTGTTGGGACGTGCTTTTCGTTCCTGACTGAGAATCGAACGTGAAGCATCTCCCGTTAGCTTCTTTCTCAGTTTCGAAGCGGCGCGCTTTGCAGAATTCCTTGCCACTTTGGTACATATGTTTGATTTGTCTTCCCTTCAGAACAGCGTTCTTGCACGCGCTGTAGATTCGATCGCAGAATTCCTCACAAACAGTCAAAGTAAAGTCCTTGAAGAATGAGTTTTGATTCGGAGCACAAATGTAGCAATACAGGTAGTTCATGTATTGAGCACAATCGCTGCTCGCTCCGGCAAGTGGCGTTAATTGTCGGAACGCAAACTCGATTTCCTCGTCGTGACAACATGAACTCTCTTTATACCAGCTACAATTTCTTAGATTTTCCTGCTTAGACGGACCACGATTCTTGAAATACGGACAGAACTGCACATCGTCGCGTGTGCTTTGAGTGTCATCGGCTCCACCAACAACACGCCAAATATCCAAACCACAACATGCCCAGAACAATAATAAAACAATCCATCGAGTCGCTGTGATTATCTCCATAGCACTCTTCTTGTCAAACTCCAGGTAGTTCGCATCCACGTTGCTGTTTGTTTATTCTAAAAGTGCGTGATCTGTCGAGATGTCTTGGCAGGACATCGCGTTTTTACGTACCAGGTGCAATTGTCGACGGGCGAAACTCACGGAGTTCGAAGATCACACCCTCCAGTCTCAGACACTCGCTTAGCGTGCACTCGTGACTTCTCAAGCTAATTTTCTAACCTACTTCGAGCATTTTCTAACCTCAAAGCCACTCCCGGAAACGTATTCGTTGACTTGCTGCCCTTGTCAATTTATCGTCGTTAGCTGGTGTAAGTTGAGTGGGACGATAATTGACATGTTTCGTTACCAGCCTCGGCAAATTACGAACGGGGAGACGGCCATTGAGTATGGATGGGGCTAGTTGAATCAATTTGCCTCAGTTTCCTTTCATCGATCTCCG